ACATTTTTAAATTACAGAACCCTCTTTCAAGGAAGGTATACAATGCACGCCCCACTTCTTGTGAAGACACTAGCAAACAATTTTTCAAGCATGATGGCTGTGCCCCCACAAATGTTTGGCACCGGTGGCGATGGGGGGAGTGTACTCATTAACTTAGCATGTAAGTATACTGTCAGCCTTCTCACTAACTGCCGTATCTGATATTGATTTTTTTGTTACTGTTTATATTTCGTTTTAATGTTTTTTATTTTGAAAGAAAAAAAAACTGTTTATTACACAAGCACAGACACGCATATAAAAAAAACATCACGCAGTGAGAGGATGTTGTAGTCAGGAGAGTTACGTTATCAATGAGACAGCGTTGATGTCTGGATTCAAAGAGATCTTTATTTCTAAAAACTACACTAGTTATACAAATTCTATTTACACGTGTACGTGTATATCTATAATATGATTTTTACGTGTAAAACAAAGGAAACGTCTCTCTCTCTGCTCTTTCAGTTTGGCTCATTGAGTATATAACCAAAATAGACATGAAATAAGGGCCATCCGTCCCTGGCAACTCATCAGGAAAATGGGCCTTACATCAATTTTGAATATCAACTCTCGTTTGCACTGAAGTCATAAATTTGAAAGCTGAAATATTACAGTTCCAACAACTGACCTGTGTGTACGTCTCCGTATATTCCAAAAATATTCTGTATATATTGTTATAAAGATAATATCTCTAATGGGGGGCTGTTCCATTCGATGATGTGGGAAAAACAGCAAAACATCTAATCACAAAACAAACGTAATCACATTTCATCGGTAATTAAACATTAAACAAGTAACTTTGCAATTTTTGTCCATTATAGCAACGCTCAAGTTAAATTGGTCGATTTGAAGTGAAACAATTGACGACACGCGTCAGTCGTTTCGAATTCGGGATGGCCAATCAGAGCGCAGTTGTCACCGTAATGATTTGGCAGAATAGTTTTTAAACAAATTAAATGACATTTCGTCCCTCTTTCTGGTTATATACTCGATGCCCTTAATATACATGCAGGCTAGAAGCTAGTACTTCATGACGTGTTTTTTTTTCAGCCGGACTCTGGAACATGCTTACCTTCTCAACTCCAGTCAGACAGACGATCTACACTGCACCCCCTGCTGATAGACACGAGCTACTGGACAGGTTGAAGAAAGAGCACCCTGTAGCTAATCAATCGTGTTTGTTACTGTTGGCGCTGGCCAATCACTGTATGCGAGAAGATAACTTGTATAGAAGCGCTTTGTTGGCCTGTGAGGACGTTTCCACAGGTAATATTGCTTTTATTTTGACTGTCTTAATCATTGACTTACAATTATATAAACGTCGGGTCCGCGCTAAAAAGTGTCCGAACTTATGTCATTCACGCTTTAGTCTTCGTTTGTTTCTTCTGACAGCGAAGCAAGCAAAATTAGACAGTACTGCGATGACATTACAATTTAAATTCAACGTTTTAGTTTTTTCATATTCCTTTACATGTCACTACGTTTAAATAGGTTGACTTGGGACATTTTTTTCGTGGTTTTTGTATTAGACCCGTCGTCCATTTATTTGTAAGTCAATGGTCTTAATTAAAAAAAAATCTATTTCCACTATGTTTTACCACCGTGATATTCATATCTTTTATGTGAAATTACTCCGAACACAAAAAGATCGAACACTCAGAAAAAAATATTTCGATCCGGCCGGATTCGAACCCACGTCTTCTACCGTGCCAGACGCTATACCAACTAAGCAACAGAACGAACTAGCGGACCTCACGAATTCTTCTATGTGCTTGCGTCTTATCTTTGTATTTGGTTTTTCAACGACTTTTTAGCCGTAGCACCATCTATGAGAAATCTGTGATATGTCGTCACCCAGTTAGATACCTTTACAGCCACCAACCCCAACTAGAGATGTCGCTATTCATTGTATTTAAACATTATATTATACAGGCAGTATATTTGAAAGTGAGACATACTTATACAATGCGTTATATTCCTGATTCTGAACCCAAAAATATAATAAACTAATGAACTTAAATTTTACAAAAAAAAAAATATTTTTTTTATCGACTACTACTTGTGAACAACGTTACTTATCGAAATCTATGCACACCACTATTATTGCTCCGATGGACGCAGCGGCGAGAACAAAGCACAGGTCGGCACTGTTTGCAGAGATAGTGAACGCGCGTCCTTGGCCTAGCGAAGACACGTAAATTATTTGTACATCCGCTCGCCCGAACACTGCGCCGGCGGCGAACGCGCCTCTCGCCTGCAAAATGGATATTTATTCTAACGTCGAATTGACTGAGATGGTGCGACTTTAGGCGATAAGTGGTGATAGTGTGAGGCGAGCTATTGAAATGTTCCCAAATTGTAGTTTACGTGGAGGAGGTGAACAGTGTCGAAGTTGTTATATGAGAGGATTATCTCAGGATTTAATTTTTATACTGTGAGACAAAATGTGTTTGTGTTGATCAATTTAAAACAAAATTTATTACGACGTGCTAGACTATGCATTGTGGAAAACGGTGGACATTTTGAACACCTGCTCCGTACCACGTAAGTGTAAATAAACTGTAAATAACTAAAAAATCAATCATTGTAAATAATTTGATTACACATTTTTAACTACGCCAAAAACCTCAATTCTTATTAAATGATAACTTAATTTTCTTTTTTAGTACGTAAAACATTTCGATGATAGTTCATAAATAAAAAATAATTAACATAAGCTAAAACGTAATAGTTTCGATAACACCTTTTTCATCATAACATAAATGAGTAGGTGAGAGAGAGAGATGTGAAATCATTGTTATTGTTGCTGCCTCACTTGGCGCTCGCTTGGTAGTATTCCCAATGCACTCGAAATCAAGCGTAAAGGGAATCGGTTTATTCCTATGTACACTCCAAAACAAATTTGTTGACTTATTTTTTGTTCTATCCCATATCCTAATTTTATTTTAGTCTATGTTAAGTTGAACATGATTTACTATGACATGCATGAATATGTCTCACTTTCAAAAATACACCCTGTATAAGTATTATAAAAATGCTTAGTCGGTATAGCGACTGCCACGGTTTGCTAGAAGACGTCGGTTCGAATCCGGCCGGATCAAAGGAGTTTTTTCTGAGTGTTCGATCTTTGTGTTAATAATTATAACAAACTAGTGGAGTAATTTCATAAAAAATAATTGAATATCAATTCATCAATTCATCCCTTACGGGGTTTATGTTGGGTCATGTAAAAACTTTGAGACCTTTTTCTGTACCACATAATGCAATATGATTATTGACTATAATTATTGTTACAGAAACAACATCAACGACTCCACAGAAAGACACCAATGGCGGTACCGGCGTTCAGGTGACACCTCCTAGAATAAATATGGCGGCTGTGAGTATTGTTTGATTTTTTGAACTCCACATAACCAAAGTTAATAACAATAACGCACATACTCAACATAGCCCCGAAACCCTGTGTAGCGCGTGCCATGGATACGTACAAAAACAACCACAAATTACACCCAAACTCACGAGAAAAATAAATCTAAGCCATACAAATGTTTCTCCTGGCCCGGGAATCGAACCTGGGACCTTTGCCTGGCAGTCCGGTATGGCAACCGTTCGGCAACCAAGGTAGTTAATAAAAGTAAGTTTTTTTTTGATACAACAAACGCACTGACGCGGGAAAATAATATATGGCGCCACCGTCTATGTGGAAAAGTAAATAAAAAAATTAGGCACTTTTTACTCCCTTGGGATAAAAGGATGCAGTTTTCTCCCGCTACGAAAGGCTACATTGACATACTTTTAAAGCTTGAGAAGTGAAAACTTCTTTATTCCTTTAAAAACTTAACATTACGAACTATACTCTAGCCAAATTCGATGTAGAATGATTTGTAACAAAACATTGCTAGGCAACCAATGATGGCACAGGAAAAGAACATTTCTTTCAATGCTCATTATTAAGGCTTGCTCTGCCCACGGCCTGCTCTCGTAATGCGAATTTAAATAGGTAAGTAGGTAATCGGTTATGTAGAAGTAATACTTACCTAGCCAATTATTATAAAGTTTGCAAAATACCTATTGATACGAATGATTTAGGAATAAACATAAGGTTTTGCATCCTATTAATATTTACTGCTAAATGGTAATGGTAGATGATACAAAATCATAAGATTTTATTTGATATTAATTTACTACATATTTATTCAGCATCTATTTCCGATTCTGAACTTGAATTACCACCAGAACTCGAATGTTTGCAATCTCTCTCTTCCAATCAAAAAGTCACTAGGGATGACACAGTTTTACAAATAATTAATTACTGGTCATTTTTATGTCTCTCTTCAATAATATTCATTATAAACATGGCTTCAAGATTTAGTATTATCCATAATCTAGTTGAATTTCGTGGGAAAATATTGAAATTGTGGTAACTGTGAAAGAGTGAGATGAAACCTTAAAAATTATATGTTTTCGTTTGTTGACATTTATTCTACATCGAATTTGGCTAGAGTTAGGCAAAATATTACAAAGTATAAAATATACACTATAAATGGTACAGCACAGTGTCGATTACCCGACAGTGCCATAGCTCGCTTGCTCGTCTCTGAGTGCGAGTGTACTCGAGGATGCTGGTGAAACTGAAGGCACCCGGTGCTGCTTTTCAACTTATGTCTCAGGGTGATGGGCGCAGGGGCAGTGGCACTGCAGCTGTCATGGACAAGCGTGTCGTTTGCCATCAGGCGCACGACTTGCTCGTCCCATCAGGATTAAACCTTAATTTGTGTAACACAAGTGATAATTTCATTCGTTCCAGCTCCACACAGCCCTGTGCGCAACAGCGGGATGCGAGCACTCAACGCTATTTCTCTACTTGATGTTGCATTCGTGCAAGGCGTACAAGAGATATGTGAGCAACGTGCCTAATATTGAAAATTTGGTAAGTGTTCATTGACAAATTAACGTTGAACCCTGACAAGATAACGTTTTAATCATTTATGTTACATTATAATATGTTATAAATAAAGAAATAAATAAAGCACACGCTCATAGCCCCGCACTAGGGAAACCCTGTGTCGCGGGTGGACACACACATAGACAACCTCAAATTACATCCAAAGTCAGGAGAGAAATAAATATAGGCCATACAAATATTTCTCCCAGGCTGGAAATCGAACCTGGGACCTCTGGGTGGCAGTCATGGTAATCATTCGGTCACAGAGGCAGTTATAGATGTGACGATGAGTGACAAATAGCTATTTTTTCTAATTTGTTACTCTCAAAGGTACTCTAATTGTTAGTGATAACAAAAAACAATTATAGTCCATAGGAAATGAAACTATTTTTCCGGATTTAAATCGCGTATGTTTCTTTTTTCAAACAAACTAACGTTTCGGGCCCTTTACAGGTCCCATGGATGGTCACAGTTGACCGTGACCGTTGACCGCGATTTAAATCTGGAAAAATAGTTTCATTTCCTATGTATAACAATCGCGAAAACCTAAGAACTCGATAAATTATAGTCCATTTCAATAGGGATGATTTCTGTGACATCTACAATTTTTACTTTGCACGCATATTATTTGTAACTAATGTACCGGCACGCTATGATGACCGTTTTGGCGTTTGTCAGCTCATCGAATTTCGTATTTATTCATAACTACGTTGAAGGACCTCATTTTTGTACGATGTTGTCAATAGTGACGTGCAGTAAAATTTATGGAATGTATAATGTTACGACACAACTCGGCATTTGTTTTTCGAAATCCGAATTTTTTTTAAATGAATTGTAATACGATCGTCACTTACGGGCTCGCTGTCCAGCACAACTTCTACCTCCGGCAAACTCGCGTCAAAGCTCAATGCAAAACAAAGCAGTTTCGAATTGGTTTGCATCGCTCATTGACCTACCAATAAATGGACGTCGGGTTCGCGGTAAAAAGTGTCCGCACCTGTAGGCCGTTAAAATCGAATACAGAGGGTCAATCGCGCAATAGTCTTCGTTTGTTCGAGTAACAGCGCGGTTGTCAATCATGCAGTACCAATAATAATGACTTGTAAAAATTACTGCAATAAAGTGTGAAAACAGGATTTTGTATCATATTTTCACTAAACAAATATATTGTGTTATCATAGTTGTCATTTAAAAGTGTTATTTTGTACAGTTTTATAGTATTTAATTTATATATAACTGAATCGTAAATATAAATTACAAAAGCACACGAAATAATGAAATAGCTACATGTCCTTTTTCTACACATTGCATGCGCAAAAGATGGAAAGGGACCCATTACGTCAGTTTCAAGAAGTTTATACAAAAAACTTCTTGGTCATTTTCAATTGTTCGAACCACAAGCGATTGATATATTTAGAACAAAGAAACTGTAGAGTTGCTTTGATCTTAATCCTTTTTTAAAATGATTTTTTTATTAAACGTTAGCAATAACTAACAAAATATTGTTGTACTCTTTTTACGCCTTGGGATTACCTCTCAGGAGTCAGAAAATACATTTGCCCGAAATAACATTAGCTCGAATTTTCATAATGTGTTTTTACGAAGATTACAAAACAAAAGCTAATTTTGTCTATGTAAAAAGCATCAAAATTACTCGAAAGCGTAACGGTTTTGTTAAAAATCGGAATTACGGATATTTGAGTTTACGTTTAGTTAGAATATCGGTACATTTCAATACACGCTTATTTTCACATTTGTAGTAATATTGGTATGTATGTATCTGCCCAGCTCTTTATTATGCCTTTAAGTGAATTTGTACAAAATTCGACATAATAATATATACAAAAAATTAATTAATATTTACGAGAAAGGCTATTCCATTACTCTTGTGTTCAAGTAATTTTCAGTCGAAGCTAAATATGATGCATTTTGTTAAGTTTCCAGTAGAAGCTGAATATGATGTTTTTGGGCCCTTAAATTGTTGTAAGCAAATTTAGGCAGTACTGCAATGACGTTACAATTTAAATTAATGTTTTAGTTTTTTATACTTCGTTACATGTCACTACGTTTGTATAGGTTAACCTCGGACATTTTTTTCGTGTTTTTTGTATTAGACCCGATGTCCATTTGTTGGTAGGTCAATGGCATCGCTGCTAAAAGTCTCCGTGTGCATACGTGTTACGATCTGTATAAATATTAACAGTCCTCTATAGTTGTTGGTCCATGGTGTGGTGTACTAAAAAGTCAATGTGTATGTTTCAGATAGTACCAATCCTCCAAGTGTTGTACAACGCTCCGGACAGCAACTCGCATCACATCTATATGTCACTAATCGTCCTTCTTATTCTCACAGAGGACGACGTGCTTATAAAGAATGTACATTTAATTGTAAGTACTTTACGATAATATTTACACCCTAGTAAGAAAGAAAGGCACAACCAGCAAAGAACAATTTCCATACAGTCCGACGAGCTAAAAAGAAATTGACTATTTGTATTTTATTTATTTTATTTATTTAAAGACTTTATTCTACTACAAAGTAAATTACAGATTTTCAGAAACAATTTAAATATTTGTGTACAAAAAAAAACTTTTGTATTTCCATAAATTTTCTAATTATGCAGTATTTTTTTTTAACTAGGGAAAGTTGATTTAAGCAGAATTTTCTTTGTGAGGTTATGTCAATAATGAACATAATGTTACTTTGTAGAACAGAGTTAAATATTATTCTAAGATAAGTATAGTTGGGTCCACGTTAAAAATAATACTTAGATTCTCTACGAATCGATGAGAAAAAAATGGTACTATTTTTTCAAAATTAACAAAAAATTTAACGTTGTTAGAATTATTTTTTAACAAAGCACAACTCAGATTTTGACATTTAATTTCAAGTCTCGTTTACATTATACATAACATGATGTCTCCAAACGTTGAGACAATTTCTTCTTGAATTTTCTTACAGTTTTTGTTACAGCTAGTACAAAAAAAAAAGAAATCTCAACCGATACGCACTTCATATTATTAGTAGCGTGTTTGCACACTTCATCCAATTCATATTCGTTCCAAAACCGAGACTATACAAATTTAGAAAACTCGGACCCAATTCCTGTGACATGTCGGATTGTCATTTCTGCCGTTCACTAACTAAAACGCGGTTAAGTGGTCAAATAACCGTTTAAGGGTCGTATTCTAGAACTCTACTCAATACTCAAGTCAGGATTTGAGTATGGTTTAAAGCCCTCGAAATCATACTCAAGTCCCTGCCATTAGGGTCGTATTTCCAGTGCTTGTGTTTCCAATGCAGTCCTGACTTGAGCATCGAGTAGAGTTCTAGAATACGACCCTTAAATAGCAAAAAATAGAGCACAAAATCCTATTTTAAAAACAGTTAAAATTAGTTAACGTGTTCGGCTTATCCGAACTTACCCCAACGATGCATAGCTGAAATATTATTAAACAATTTCATTATTCTAAAACTGGGTTATGGTTTTTTTTTAATGATATTCAAAAAGAATCGTGATGGCAAATTTTGTCATCGATTTGATATCGTACGATTTCTTTTAATTTTTATTCACAACACCCGAATCAAACGTCAAACTATCGTATTCGAAACCGAACCGAAATGACGTCACACCCCTACGTTTACTCAAACTTCAACAAGTAAAAGTTACAAACGTTATTCAGAATACAGTTATCGAACGTCCTATGGTTTACAAAGCAAGAATGTAATAAATATTAATTTAAATAAAGTGTGGATTTTGTTCAATTTTATTAATTTATTTTAATGCAAGAATAATGCATTCCTATATCTTAGAATGTTCTGAATCACTCTGAAAGCGTCCTAAGATTCGAGAACGACATCCAATCGAACGATTCGGTTAAAATATCGAAGAGTTCTGAATCGGGATCGTGATACGAATTGGACGTAGTGCACAAACGCTCTTAGGAATATTTATTAAAATGATCTTTATATTCAAAACAATTATTGGACCTCTTGTAATGTATTTTTTCCTATAAATTTTTCAGACTTTAAAAAACCTCACGTGGTACACAGAGCGTGCAATATCAGAAATATCACTCGGCGGTCTAATGGTTTTAGTCATAGTTCGGGCGTTGCAATACAATATGGTTCGAGTGAGAGACAAATACTTGCATACTAATTGTCTTGCCGCCATCGCCAATATGAGCTGTGAGTATGACATTCCACTACTAGTCATAAATAGTGTTAGAAGTGTAGTGCGAGCGTAGCAATACAATGTGGTCAGCGTCAGAGACAAATACATTTATACTAATTGCCTTGCCCGGCATAATTAATAATTTTTTTGTTTTTTTTTTGTAGTTCGTATTTTTCTTTTAATTATTTTATTTTATATTATTATTCTTTACATTAATGACGATCATGGTATACCTTGACATTATATTTCGAATTGTAATATTATGAAATTGACAATATGAAATAAATGATTCTATTCTATTCTACTACTGGTGTTACAAATGTAGTTCGAGTGGTACAATACAACAATACGTTTCCGTCATCGGTACTACGTGCGTACCACGGCTATGCTTAAAGATTCTCAATGGTGTTAAAAATATAATTAAAGTGTTACAATACAACATGGTTCGAGTGAGAGACAAATATTTGCATACTTATTAATTGTCTTGCCGCCATCGGCAATATGAGCTGTGACTATGACTGCTAGTCATAAATAGTGTTAGAAGTGTAGTTCGAGCGTTGTGGTTAGCGTCAGAGTTGTCTCTAACGCTACATATACATTTATACTAATTCTCTAGCCGGCATCGCTAATTTGAGCTGTCAGTATGACATTCTACTACTGGTGTTGGAAATGTAGTTCGTGCGGTGCAATACAACAATACGTTTCCGTCGTCGCTACTATGAACTGAATGGCGTACCGCCCCTGGTCATACAGCTGTCCTTAAAGATTCTCAATGGTGTTAAAAATATAAACAATACAACTTGGTTCGAGTGAGAGAAAAATTTGCATACAAATTGTCTTGCCGCCATCACTAATATGAGCTGTGAGTGCATTGACTTACAAATAAATGGACGACGGGTCTAATACAAAAACCACGAAAAAAATGTCCCAAGTCAACCTATTCGAAATTTAAATTGTAATGTCATCGCAGTATCGCGCTGTCAGTCGAACAAATGAAGACTAAAGCGGAGTGTGGCGCTCTGTATACGATTTTAGCGCCTTACAAGTGCGGACACTTTTTAGCGCGGACCCGACGTCCATATAATTGTAAGTCAATGTGTGAGTGTGACATTTCACTACTGGTCTTGAATGGTGTTACAGTGTAGGTCGAGCGTAATAATACAACGTGGTTAGCGTCTGGGACAAATACATTTATAGTCTGCCTTTTTTGAAGACGGAGTAAAATGGCATTTGTAGGATTGCCAACTTTCACAAAAATTTAAATAGTTATGTAGTCGTTGTCGATAGTTTTATCGATAGATTGTGAAAGAAGATAAAATTTTGCCAAAAATGACTGAATTAGTAATCATTAGAACGTCGTAACATGTGAATTGCGTTATTGTCTTCTTTATTCTTATTTTAACAGTTGGCCTACTAGTATCGAAATCAATTTTTTTCATGTACATTTTATCAAGAATAGCCGGATTTGATTATCTATATTGAATTAAAATGAAAAACTTTAAAATATGTATCCTCTTTGTATTTTTCATAAACATAGTTCTAAATACAGTGTATGTATGTATGTATGAATTTGCGAAAATTGACAATTCAAATGAACTTGTGCTCAGTAATTGGATGAATAAATGAAACAAGTTCGGCTATTTATTCCATAAGCGTGACCAATATTCAGTCGATAGTCGATAGAATATTTATCGACTGCAATCACTAGCTGCTCGGAAGCGGGCAACACTTTTGCGCATTGAACTGTCATTTTACTCTGTCTTCAAAAAAGACAGACTTTATACTGATTGTCACGCCGCCATCGCTAATACGAGATATGAGTATGACATTATCCTCAAATACGTTACCCTAAAAAAAATTACATAATTCTAGTCGGGAGAGGAATAAATTTGTGGAATTACATTTTACAGGTGAATTTCGAAACCTTCACCCCTACGTTGCTCAAAGGTTAATATCGCTGTTCGAAACGTTAAATAAGCGACGCGCGCGCCTCTGCCTCGAAATCGAAGGTGGCGACATCAGTGGTCTCGAATTACCCCATCACGCGCAGGACAAAACGGAGGAAATTGTGAGTATGATATTGTTTCCTACTATTTTATGTGGTGGAGCGAAATGAACGTGTAATACCGATAAGTAAATGACTGAATTTTTGCGGTATATTTTTTTATATATAATTGTATATATTTATTCATTTTGGTAACTCAGTCACTAAAAAAACTGTTACTACCCAATTTATATTTAAATAAATAATTATTATAACCAGAAATAGAGACGAAATGTCATTTAATTTGTTTGAAAACTATTCTGCCATATCATTACTGTGACAACTGCGCTCCGATTGGCTAGCCCGAGTTCGAAACAATTGACGGGGTGTCGTCGATTGTTTCACTTCAAATCGACCAGTTAACTTGAGCTTTGCTATAATGGACGAAAATTACATATTTAATTACCTTTATATATTTACATTGTAATAAATGTTTTGCTGTTATTGTTAGAAATATTGTCTTTATTACAATAAATACAGACTATTTTTGGAATATACACATGACGTACACACAGGTCAGTGGTTGACGCTGTACTATTTCAGCATTCTAATTTGTGATTTCAACCCAAACGAGAGTTGATATTTAAAAGTGATATCAGTACCATTTGACTGATCAGGCCTTCATTTTGATTCGAGACACGATTTCATCTCTATTTCTGGTTAAATACTCGATGGGTTTAAATTACAAATGTACTAACTGCCCTTGCAAGTGGCTTCCTATATGGTCTGGAATAAGTATATAGTAGAAGGTCGAAGAACAAGGAGAATGACTCACCTTTTCTTTCGTTACGGTGGCAGCAATTCCGCCTGGATACGGACGCCACAGGAGGAACAATCCTCAGGTTCACTACTGAGCACTCAGTGTGGCCAGAGCATGTCTCACATGCTTGGCGACAGAAATAGGTATGATGGCAGCGGGCAAATTTTCTTGCAAAGACCCCTGCTGCCAGTTAACATTGACATCTCTAAAATAATAAAATTTGTTTACAGATGGACCACATATCAGTACTGGATGAAGTCCTGCGCATGCTCTTAGAAATAATAAATTCGTGTCTCACGCACCAGTTGGTGAACAACTTGAACCTGGTTTACGCGTTGCTACACAAAAGGCATATATTTCAACAACAACAGCATCCCATTACGCAAAACATTGAAATGGTAAGTTTTTTTAATAATACTAATTGACGGGACGATCAAGTCGTGCGCCTGGTTGTAAGCGACACACCTGTCGATAACAGTTGCAGTGTCACTCACAGCTTTAAATCACAAAGAACTGACGGGCAGTGTCACAACGCCGGTCACCCTGAGACATAAGTTGACAAGTCCCATGTGCCTGTAATTTCACCAGCACCCAAATACATGAATATCACGGTGGAATAATCTCAGTACAGAGTACTAAAAAACCGACCTCAAGGTAGATTATGCCCAGGAGGGAGGTGGAAGTCTTTAAATAGACTGCGGACCCAAGTCGGCCGAAGGAAGGAGAGCATGCACAGCTGGGGTTATAGCTCTGGGAGCGCATGTATCGTGGTGTCTCTCCCCAGACTACGGCACATCTTTTGTCTTGTCCTGCGGTCCCCTACACCTGCACACGCGAGGACCTGTACAACGCCACTGATAATGCTGTCAGTCGCTGAGTACTGGTCCTCACAAATATAATGTCAGAGTCGACGCGCTAAGAAGAGGAAGACCGACCTCCAAAGTCATTCATCCCCTAGTTTGCCACCCCTGGAGGTGGAATATTTTTTCAAACTTAAATGGGACCACATCTGAGGTACCCTCTTTCTAACAAAAAAATCATCAAAACCGGTTCACAAAGACTTATCGCTTAACATACTTACAAAAAAAACGTAAAGTCGAATTCAGAACCTCCTCCTTTTTTTGAAGTCGGTTGAAAACATAACGTCTTCGTCAGCTTGTGATAGCTGTAAGGGTACCGGCTGAGTGAGAAGGTTCATAAATCTCTCTGTCGCTTACGGCGTTGAAAGTCGAAAAGACCCAATACAAAGATCTTTAACTTAACCTTAATTGTAACTTTTTCTTTAACTTTCACTTTTTATTTTATTAGCAGTAGAACTCCTTGTGAAAGAGTTTGTCCAGGGAAGTACTGCTACCTTACTTATTTCTGCCGGTAAGCAGTAATGTCACCATTACTGTATTACGTTTGTGAGGAGTAAGGGTGCTGGAGAAATTACAGGCACATGGGACTTGTCAACTTGTGTCTCAGTGACAGTGCCCCTAAGATCTTTGCGATTTTAAGCTCTGAGTGGCACTGCAACTGTTATGAACAGGCGTGTCGCTTACCATCAGGCGCAGGACTTATTCGTCCCGTCACTTGATACCATATAAAAAAATTTTATTTACCGCTCTTAATATACAATGTATTTTGTCTTTTTGTAAAGCGTAAAAAAAATTTGTTAACCAGGTAATTGGATATTTCTCAACACGCTTACAACGGGTCCAAGAAGGCGCTGGCGGCGATCTCGGCGTCACTGAAGTCCTGGCTTGTATCAAGAAGGGCGGGGAACAATGGTCGAGTGACAGATTGAAGGTAATACAATAACTAGGTTGATATTGACCCTGACCCTGAACTTATGCACTAATATCAAAAATATTTTGAATTTTTATTGAATTGATATTCAATTATTTTTTTGTGAAATTGCTCCAATAGTTTGTTATAATTATTAATACAAAGATCGAACACTCAGAAAAAATTCCTTCAATCCGGCCGGATTCGAACCGACGTCTTCTAGCATACCGTGCCAGACGCTATACCACGACACGGACACGACAAGCACATAGAAAAAATCGTGAGCTCCGCTGGTTCGTTCCGTGGTTTGGTTGGTATAGCGTCTGGCACGGTATGCTAAAAGACGTCGGTTCGAATCCGGCCGGATTGAAGGAATTTTTTCTAAGTGATCGATTCGATCTTTGTATTAATAATTATATCAAAAATATTTTTAAAAAAAAGTTTTCCAGTTAATGACATAAACCTAAATACACACTATAAGGTCAAAATCCCGTCTTATATTAAGAGTGCGCTGATCAATAGCCTGGAAGTAGTTTAAATTATGTAAATGGCCGTGGACATCAATTAATTCCTCTTTAATATGAAATATACATAGGCAGTTTTTGTCCTTGTAATATTATTCAAACATTGATCACATAACCTAAAATTATTTTCTGAGCTTTGACAAAAATATGCGTGTCAATCATTGACTTACAAATATATGGACGTCGGGTCCGCGCTAAAAAGTGTCCGCACTTGTAAGGCGCTAAAATCGTATACAGAGCGCCAAACTCCGCTTTAGTCTTCATTTGTTCTACGGACAGCGCGATACTGCGATGACATAACAATTTAAATTTCGAATAGGTTGACTTGGGACATTTTTTTCGTGGTTTTTGTATTAGACCCGTCGTCCATTTATTTGTAAGTCAATGGTGCCAATAGATGGCATCGTGTATTACAAACTAAATAATTATAAATTACCGCTAATACGGATAGATGGCGCTTATCCTAAACTGCCTCCGTGGCCGAACGGTTACCATGCCGGACTGCCACGAAGAAGTCCCAGGTTCGATTCCCGGGCCGGGAGAAATATTTGTATGGCCTACAATTATTTCTCTCATGAGTTTGGGTGTAATTTGTGGTTGTCTATGTGTGTGTCCATGGCACCCGCGACACAGGGTTTCCCTAGTGCGGGGCTATGTTGAGTGTGTGCGTTATTTATTATTTATCCTAAACAAAATAAAATATCCATAAAAATCTGTGCAATAGGCGCCATCTGGTTTATTTGTGTGTTATCACTAGAAATTACATTAGCTTTGATAAATTGCAGCTTGTCAATGTAAAACAAATTAGTTACAAAAATAGCTATTTGGTACTCGTCGCGCCACCTGGTGTACCAAGAGGTACTAAATACCCGACTACGCTGTCTAGTATCGTGATTAGCAGTCTTCTTGTGTTTTGGTCCATGATTTAACTTACTTTTTACATTAGATAATAAAGAAGCCATAGTAGCCTAATGGTTTGACCTACTGCCTCTCAAGCAGAGGGTCGTGGGTTCGAATTCGGGCACGCACCTCTGAGTTTCTCGGTATTTATGTGCGAAATTTAATTTGAAATTTAGCTTGAGATTTTCGGTGAAGGAAAACATCGTGATGAAACCTGCACGTTGAAGAAGGTTCACAACCCTCGAGAAACATCCCCGACCCGCATTGGGCCAACGCGACGGACTACGGCCTAAACCCTCGTCTGAAAGGAGACCCGTGCCCAGTAGAGGAACGTATAAAAAGGGTTGATGATGATGAATAAAGAATTCTATTCAGCCATAAGCTATTGCTATTGACTACTTAATTGGTTTTGAATTAATGAAATATTCTTATGCACATTGAAAAAATAACAATGCGACTGTGAACTGGCAACTGGTACTATCTCAATTTTAACAACTTCACAGTATGACAACATGCAACAGTAATATATAAGTATCACAGGCCCTGTAGCGTACCACCGCGATAAGACCGTTATATCCATATTTAGCTGTCAAATTTGAGTGATAAAACCGTCATTTTCAAATTTTATCACAACATCTAACATGGCGCACCGTGACGTTACATTTTTGTCGCAGCCCGCGCGCCGCGAAAGAATATCGCAACGCCAAACATAGCCGCGAGGTCACAGCTGATTTTAAAACGTTTTGACAGTTCTGTACAGTAAATTTATCAACGTAAAAATTAAGCGCGACAAACGAGATAAAAACAAACAAAGTGTTCTATATAAAATATTGTAATAAGGTGAGAAAATTTTTAATACAGTTCAATACATGAGAGGAATTACAAATACGTAAATAATAACTAATATAGTGTATTTATGTGTACCGGTATCTTACCGGTTCAGTATTCGTAACAAAAATAAATATGGCAACATAGTTTATTCAACTGAAATAAAATGTCACGGAGAGGTTTATCACATATTGAATGCGATATACTGCTGCGGCCACAGAATATGCTAATGTAATAAATACAACAAGCGGCCTCATCGATAAATAATTAAGTAGCAGTAGAGCTCCTTGTGCAAGAGTTCGTCCAGGAAAGTACTGCCATCTTACCTGTTTCTGCAGCTTAGCAGCAACGTGACCATTGTCGCCACTTTGTTATTTATTGGATTTAGACTAGACTGTAATACCTATGTACCTGGTTCAAATATTCTCAATGTAAATGTTGAGGGACGACAAAAGATACTTAATTTATAGGTATACATATAAGCGGGTAGAAAGACACTGAACCATGATTAAAACGTTAATGGTTCACTACATTGCGTTATGACGAGGAACCGTAGAGGTGTACCTCGTATGTTGCGTACAAACCCCCAGCACATCTCGCCTATGTACTGGGGCGGGACACCTGAGAGGTGCCCCGAGTGGACCTCCAGCCTCCCCTTTAGTCCAACCTCTGCCCAACAGGTTTCAAGCTTCGATAGCTATTAATCGCGGTGCAAGTGTACATGCCAGCTAATACCGACCCGATTGATGCCAACGATAGGCACCCACAGTCATAAGCGTCAATGAGGCTAGTCTACTGCGGGTCGAGTCAGCACGTGGCGAATTGATAATCATAGAACATGTTTCGTAACAATATTAAATTCGACAATTAACTTAGTTGTGTGTCTTTCCACCGTGTCTATGCATGTCGTAAAGTTAAACAGTACATAGAGGAACTTACCAGTTGTTTGTCTCTTAGGGTACATTCACTTACACAGCCCTATCTTCAGTTTTAACCAAACTGAAGTCCACTCGGTTCCCGCCATTGCCGTTGACGTTACTGCCGTCTCGATAGTGTCAAAATAAAAAGTTAGCAAAGGCAAAGCAGTGTTACCACAATACAAAAATTGGGTGAAGTTCGTTTACTCACCAAATGATTGATTATCGCGTGATTCGCGACAACCATTGCTTCTTGACATTATTTTCAGTTTTGAAAGGTAAAGTTGCTGGTGAAATTATAGACACTTCAACAAGTTGAAAAGTCACACATGCCTGTAATAATGTAATCAAACGTTCTTCTTCAATCAGTCAAGGAATTATATCCTAGTCTCAGTTCATAGAAACCCAACTATACGAACGTATTTTTTCTTTTACAGAAATTCCCTGATCTGAAATTCCGTTACGTGGAAGAAGAACGTCCCGAAGAATTCTTCACTCCCTACGTTTGGGGCCTCATTAGCAGTTGCGGCGGAGTGCACTGGGCCAGCGAATGCAGCGCGAGAGCAGTCACCGACTTGCTGACTTGCTGATCCATATATCTTCGAGATATTTGTGATTTTATATGTTTCTTCTGGGATTGGAGATGAATGATTTTTGGTATAACGACGCTGTCTGTTGACGGAAAAGTACTTTAACGACATCGTCTTATGGTAGTAACCTACTACCGTCAGTGTCGCCTTCTATTATGCACTTATATAACAAACTACCACGAAAGACCAGTTTTTACTCCCGATTACTATTAATTTCTTAAATAGATATTAGATTATAATTACTAATACGAATATCGAACACTAACAAAAAATCAAACGATCCGGCTGGATTAGAACCAACGTCTTCCAGCAAACCGTGCCAGACGCTATCCCGACTGAGTGAAGAAATAGATTTCTCGCAAATGGCGCAGCGACAAAAAAGCCGTTAAAAACCAAGAAGCACATAAAAAAATTCGTAAGGTCGCTATAGTCGTCACCAAATAAGAGGCCAAATTTGACAGCTAACGAAGGCGATAATATGTAACTTTGAATGCGATCAACGAAACAATAAACAAACAACTATTAGCATAATTGAGTTTAAAAAACATACCTAAATTTTATTGAAACATTATATAATATGACAAAACATATTTGAAGTACTGTTTTCGCACGAATTCCAAAATAAATACCCCGAAACGTCCTGAAAACAGTTGCGTCTTTAAGCTATTTTTTTTAAATAATAGTGTTGTCAGCAACTAACCGCGGAATTTCACCGAGTCACTTCGATGAATGAATATTTAAAAAAAAATTAGAATAAATTATTGTTTGTTGTTGACATTGAGAACTTCTAACTTATTGCCAGCCGAATAATTGAAAATCTATTAAATCCGTGGTTTCTTGGTGATTTAATATTTTTATGTAGCTGTTTTATCGATGAACATACTTATTTACACTAAATTCTCGTAATAAACCATTTATGAATATTATAAAGTCAAAATTAAAAGAATTGGATACAATTTATCGGAATGTGGGGCAATTTTACGAAAATAACAGGAATTGCTACAGAATTGCAAGGAATTCTGTAATTAAATTGCTTTTAACAGAATTGGGCCCTTTAAGCGCCGTGAACAACAATGAACCGAAAAATAATCTTAACAATCACAAACTCTTAAAATTTTGGATCGATTTCTGTGATTACCGATATGATTAGTCCACATCCCTATTCGTTTCGCGATGACAAGTGTCAAATTTGGCCTCTTATTTGGGAGACGACTATAGTTCGTTCCGTGCTTAGTTGGCATAGCGTCTGGTACGGTTCGCTGGAAGACGTTGATTCCAATCCAGCCGGATTGAAAGATTTTTTTCTAAGTGTTCGATCTTTGTATTAGTAATTATAATTAACTAGTGGAGTAATTTCACAAAACTAATTGACTATTATGGTGGTGAAACATCGTGACATTCAATAAAAATTAAAAATTAGATATTAGATTGTTATTATGGATTTTATAACGATCGAACAAGGAAAGAAAAATTATTCGAACCAGCGTCTTTTGTTACACCTCGACCGCCTCTCTTACCTACAAAGCTACAGACCGTATCAGAGGATCTTATCTTACTTAATATTCCTCTGTGTGCTCGTTGCAAGTCTTTCGAAAAAAGTTATTCTGTTAGTGGTAATAAAATAAATGGAAAATTTAACCAGGCGGTCAGTTTTTTTTAAAAAAAAGCTCTCAAAATCTAGAAATTCTTAATTAAAGACAATTCTTTTTTGACCTACAATTTCCTGAAAATCGTTTAAGAGTTTTAATACTATGTAACGTAAAACGGAAAAGAACGGATTTTTGTGTAATTTTTTGGCTAATGTGCTAGTGGCCAATGCCATGAAAAATATATGGACAGATCAGTGTTGCTGTTTTTGGACTTATTTTAGTGTTGCTAAAAATTATTTAAAAAATGCAGGTCACAATATTGTTTTTATTATTCTGTTAAGCTTTTATATTTCAAGCTTATATCTAGCAAAAAATGTTGAGCCTGGTATAATATTTCTGGGAATTAAGTACCAAGCTCCATACTAATTCAGTACAAATCTTTCCTTTGTATTTCTTTTCACTTTGCATCAATAATAATAACAAACTAGAGGAGTATTTTCACATAAAGGTTTGTGAAGAAGACGGTGGTAGAAACATTCATACATACATAAATATTCATAGTAAATATTGAGATATTAGATTGGCCAAAAAGTCCATCCGGTATCAAAGTATAAATGAGAAACATAACAGAAAATATCAAACCAGTTCTGTGCGTTTTATTATAAACTCAAAACTTTCCCGCCTATTCTTAAAATACGCGCCAAAAAATATTTTTAAAATGACCATAGACAACGTTGTATACTTTGTGGGCATATCCGTGCTGCTACAAGTGTTGGGTCATGGAAAAATTTCCATTTTGAAATAAAATATTTTCCCATATTTTTCCACATTTGACCTTGACGCCTGTCAAAAGTTGAAGTTACTGAAAGAAAGCGATGCAGCCAACAACAAGTAGTGTGGTGGTGTGGTTGTAGGATTTTTCGCTGTTTTGAAATCATTTCAAATATCATTTTTCTATTGTTTCTTTTAAATATACAAGTTTAATTTTTTATTATTATGAAGTTTTATTTAGCGTGAATTATAAAATAAAATTGTACATCTAAAAGCAGGCGAGAGTAAAACGAAATTTAAAATGGTTGCACAACAGCGGAAAAAGGAATCGTAGGTTAAAAAAAACAATGGCTACTTCGTTTTCGTTCAGCATCTTTAACTTTTGGCAGACGTCAATTGTCAAATGTGGAAAAATTGTCAGAAAAATAGTTATTTTTCTCTGAAAATTGAAATTATTCAGCATTAACCGACTTGTCAATAAATCACTGTAAATGTTGTCTTGTCAATAAATGTATCTGTGCTAGTGGTCGCGTACTCTCACGCGATGCTATCTAACAGACTATGTGTAATTTCAAAGAAAATAGTAGATTGTACAACAAGTGCATAAAACGCGTCATTTTACCCGATATAAGTATATGTAATGGATACGTAAGTCGAGGGTAAAATGGGTTTTATGAACGAGTTTATACACTCTGCTTTTCACTTCGATTGCGAGGAAATTAAACAGCAATATTACAAATAAAAGATTATTTAATTAAAATTGAATGTAAAATTACAACAATTAGACATATTTAATGTGATGGTTTTTTTATTTTATGCACTAGAGCATAAAATCCTATTTTATGCAGCCTACACCCATCATAAATACGAACTTTGAGAGCATCAGAAATCAGAAGTGAAAAAGTTCTTTTGTTTGTTGACTTTATGGCCAACCTTACTGAGAGATGAATCTTATTATGTTTCTTTCAATTACAGAGAGAATTAGGACAAGCGCCCTCTATTGATAGTAAATAGTAAATGATTTAGTAACTTTATCGTATTTTCTGTACAATACATTGTTAAACAAATGCGGGCACTATTTTGCTAAAAACAAGACGTTTCTATTCTTATGCATTCCATTTCGAGTGTAATAAAATTACAGAAAAGGTAATAAACGCCCGTAGGCGCACTTCTGTTCATCTTTACTTACTATATTGCTGGTCCTTGTAATTACAAGTTATTTGTGATATTACACGATTATTTTCAATTTGGAAATAAGTAGTATTACGAAATAACTTTATAAGTAAATTATTTTCACATTCTGTAGACAGAACTGTAACTATTCATTAATCCAATTATTGTTTAACTACGACACAAACCTCTGCAGACGACGCATAAAAATCATAAATAATAATTGTACAATTTTCTACTCTTAGGGTCGTATTCTAGAACTCTATTCAATGCTCAAGTCAGGATTG